TTGGGGGTTATGAGCCCCTGGTTCCAAATATCAGGGAAGCAGCCACTCTCCAAAACCAGGTTGAATAAGGCATCCTGCAGCTCAGGAGTACTGTGTTTCAGCATTTCATTCCTGATGCCGTCAGGGCCTTTCCATGTTTAGAACATGTTTCTAGCATTTAAAATCCCCACACAAAAGCACAGTTCCCGCTGCTTGAAATGATCATCCTAGTGATCTGAGAGGGAAACATACACCGCACCTATGTACACTGAACAGAAATATAAACGCAACAACTTCTAAGATTTTACAGTTCATATTAGGGAATCAGTCAATTGAAATAAGTTAATCAGGTCCAAATCTTTGGGTTTCACATGACTGGGAATACAGATATGACTCTGTTGGTCGCAGATACCTTTTTAAAAAAGGTAGGGGCGTGGATCAGAAAACCAGTCAGTATCTGGTGTGACCACCATTTGCCTCATGCAGCGCGACACATCTCCTTCACATAGAGTTGATCAGGCTGTTGATTATGGCCTGGCACAGACGTTATCCACCTAAGAAACGGGAGCCGAATTGAAGCAGAAGCGCCAGAAATTTACATTTGACGTCACAATCGGAGAGGAGAGAGATGGGGGCCTGTGCAGGCTGTCATGCAATCGGAGCCAGTCAAAAGAGTAAAGAGTTTTTTCACGCTGTGAGCTTTTTTGCATGACAGCCTGCATGCTCAGGACACCATCTCTCCCCTCTGCCACCTCATCTCTCCCCTCTCCTCCATCTCTCTCCTCTCCTCCAGCTCGCCCCTCTCCCCCATCTCTCTCCTTTCTTCCCCATCTCTCATATCTCTCTCCCTCATCTCTCTTCCCCATCTCTCTCTCTCTCTCTCCCCCCCCTCTCTCTGCTCTCTCCCCATCTCTCTCTCTGCTCTCTCCCCATCTCTCTCTCTCCCCATCTCTCTCCTCTCTCCCATATATCCATATCTCCACCTCTCTCCCCCCATATCACCACCTCTCCACCTCTCTCCCCCCATATCACCACCTTTCTCCCCCCCATATTGCCACCTCTCTCCCCCCATATCACCACCTCTCTCCCCCCATATCTCCACCTCTCTCTACCCCATATCTCTGCCACCTCTCTCCCCCCCATATCTCTGCCACCTCTCTCCCCCCCATGTCTCTGCCACCCCCCCCCCAAATCGCTGCCATCTCTCTCCCCCCCCATATCGCTGCCATCTCTCTCCCCCATATCTCTGCCACCTCTCTCCCCCATCTCATCTCTCCCCAATCAAATCTAAATCTAATGTTATTTGTCACATGCGCCGAATACAACAGGTGTAGACCTTACCGTGAAATGCTTACTTACAAGCCCTTAACCAACAATGCAGTTTAAGAAATAGAGTTAAGAAAATATTTACTAAATAAACTAAAGTAACAATAATATAACAATAATGAGGCTATATACAGGGGGTACCGGTACCGAGTCAATGTGCGGGGGTACTGGTTAGTCGAGGTAATATGTACATGTAGGTAGGGGTAAAGTGGGGGGGGGCTGTTAATGAGCCTTTTGGACCTAGACTTGGTGCTCCGGTACCGCTTGCCGTGCGGTAGCAGAGAGAACAGTCTATGACTAGGGTGGCTGGAGTCTTTGACAATTTTTAGGGCCCTCCTCTGACACCGCCTGGTATAGAGGTCCTGGATGGCAGGAAGCTTGTCCCCAGTGATGTACTGGGCTGTACGCACTACCCTCTGTAGCGCCTTAAGGTTGAATGCCGAGCAGCTGCCATACCATTCGGTGATGCAACCGGTCAGGATGCTCTCGACGGTGCAGCTGTATAACTTTTTGAGGATCTGGGGACCCATGCCAAATCTTTTCAGTCTCCTGAGGGGGAAAAGGTGTTGTCGTTCCCTCTTCACGACTGTCTTGGTGTGTTTGGACCATGATAGTTTGTTGGTGATGTGGACACCAAGGAACTTCAAACTCTCGACCCGCTACACTACAGCCCCAGTCCATGATCATCTCCTTTGTCTTGGTCACATTGAAGGAGAGGTTGTTATCCTGGCACCACACTGCCAGGTCTCTGACCTCCTCCCTATAGGCTGTCTCATCGTTGTCGGTGATCAGGCCTACCACCGTTGTGTCATCAGCAAACTTAATGATGGTGTTGGAGTCGTGCTTGGCCATGCAGTCATGGGTGAACAGGGAGTACAGGAGGGGACTGAGCACGCACCTCTGAGGGGGCCCCCGTGTTGAGGATCAGTGTGGCAGATGTGTTGTTACCTACCCTTACCACCTGGAGGTGGCCCGTCAGGAAGTCCAGGATCCAGTTGCAGAGGGAGGTGTTTAGTCCCAGGATTCTTAGCTTTGTGATGAGCTTTGTGGGCACTATGGTGTTGAACGCTGAGCTGTAGTCAATGAACAGCTTTCTCACATAGGTGTTCCTTTTGTCCAGGTGGGAAAGGGCAGTGTGGAGTGCGATTGAGATTGCATCATCTGTGGATCTGTTGGGGCGGTATGTGAATTGGAGTGGGTCTAGGGTTTACAGGATGATGGTGTTGATGTGAGCCATGACCAGCCTTTCAAAGCACTTCATGGCTACCGACGTGAGTGCTACGGGGCGGTAGTCATTTAGGCAGGTTATCAGCTGCTTATCAGCAGCTTGGTGAGAAGGCAACAACTGTTGGCGCAATTATTAGAAAATGGAAGAAGTTCAAGATGACGGTCAATCACCCTCGGTCTGGGGCTCCATGCAAGATCTCACCTCGTGGGGCATCAATGATCATGTGGAAGGTGAGGGATCAGCCCAGAACTACACGGCAGGACCTGGTCAATGACCTGAAGAGAGCTGGGACCACAGTCTCAAAGAAACTATTAGTAACACACTACGCCGTCATGGATTAAAATCCTGCAGCGCACGCAAGGTCCCCCTGCTCAAGCCAGCGCATGTCCAGGCCCGTCTGAAGTTTGCCAATGACCATCTGGATGATCCAGAGGAGGAATGGGAGAAGGTCATGTGGTCTGATGAGACAAAATAGAGCTTTTTGGTCTAAACTCCACTCGCCGTGTTTGGAGGAAGAAGAAGGATGAGTACAACCCCAAGAACACCATCCCAACCGTGAAGCATGGAGGTGGAAACATCATTCTTTGGGGATGCTTTTCTGCAAAGGGGACAGGACGACTGCACCGTATTGAGGGGAGGTTGGATGGCGCCATGTATCGCGAGATCTTGGCCAACAACCTTCCCTCAGTAAGAGCATTGAAGATGGGTCGTGGCTGGGTCTTCCAGCATGACAACGACCCGAAACGCACAGCCAGGGCAACTAAGGAGTGGCTCCGTAAGAAGCATCTCAAGGTCCTGGAGTGGTCTAGCCAGTCTCCAGACCTGAACCCAATAGAAAATCTTTGGAGGGAGCTGAAAGTCCGTATTGCCCAGCGACAGCCCCGAAACCTGAAGGATCTGGAGAAGGTCTGTATGGAGGAGTGGGCCAAAATCCCTGCTGCAGTGTGTGCAAACCTGGTCAAGACCTACAGGAAACGTATGATCTCTGTAATTGCAAACAAAGGTTTCTGTACCAAATATTAAGTTCTGCTTTTCTGATGTATCAAATACTTATGTCATGCAATAAAATGCAAATTAATTACTTAAAAATCATACAATGTGATTTTCTGGATTTTAGATTCCGTCTCTCACAGTTGAAGTGTACCTATGATAAAAATTACAGACCTCTACATGGTTTGTAAGTAGGAAAACCTGCAAAATCGGCTGTGGATCAAATACTTGTTCTCCCCACTGTATGTCAAAAGACCTGGTAGACGGAGGAAGACCACTGTAGTGGATGACCGGAGAATACTCTCTATGGTGAAGGAAAACCCCCCCTGATAACAGCCCAACAGATCAAAAACACTCTCCTGGATGCAGGTGTAGATGTGTCAAAGTCTACCATACGTAGAAGACTACACCAGCAGGACTACAGAGGGTACACTACAAGATGCAAACCACTGATAAGCCTGAAGAACAGAAAGCCGAGATTACAGTTTGCTAAAAAAGCACCTAAAAGAGCCCCAAGAGTTCTGGGAAAAAAAGTATTGTGGACAGATGAGACAAAGATGTCACACCCCAGCAACAACCTCCAAAGGGCAATAGCAAAGTCTAGAATCAATACTATTCATCAACAGCTCTCCTTCATTCACTAACGACACAAATGAATACACCTGCCTAACGACACACATCTGTGAAGCCAATTGAACAAATACTTGTAGTACCTTAAAATGGGGGGACCATGTACAAAAGGTGCTGTCATTTCTAAACGGTTCATCCGATATGTATGAAAATACCCTCAAATTAAAGCTGACAGTCTGCACTTCACCCTCATTGTCATTGTATACTTTCAAACTCAAAGTGCTAGAGTACAGAACCAAAATAACAAAAAAATGGTCACTGTCCAATGAATTATGGAGCTCACTGTATGTGGGAGTAGAGGCCTGAGGGGGCACACTTAATATGTTGTGAAATCTGTTATGAATGTATTGTGATGTTTTTTAAATGTATAACTGCCTTCATTTTGCTGGACCCCATAGCAGCAGCTAATGGGGATCCATAATAAATACAAATAGAAATCCATCTGGCCCTGCGGCCTTGTGAATGTTGACCTGTTTTAAAGGTCTTGCTCACATCGGCTACGAGCGTGATCACACAGTCGTCCGGAACAGCTGGTGCTCTCATGCATGCTTCAGTGTTGCTTGCCTCGAGGCATAAAAGGCATTTAGCTCGTCTGGTAGGCACTCATCTGTCCTCTGTCCTCACCCCCCCCCCCCCCCCCCCCCCCAAACTTCGCCTTTGAAGAGTCCCCATCTCCCCATCTCCCCCTCCCATATCTCCCATATCTCCCCCTCCCATATCTCTCCCTCTCCTCATCTTCCCCATGTCTCCCCTCTCTGTTGTGGTTTACCGGTTAAGGCGGTTAGATGGTTATCACAACACTATTTATATTTCTGTCTCCCTCTCTCTGACTCCCTCCCCTCCAGGTATCCTAGGGTCTCCCTCCCAGGAGGATCTGAACTGCATCATCAACATCAAGGCCAGGAACTACCTGCTGTCTCTCCCGCAGCGCTGCAAGGTCCCCTGGAACCGCCTCTTCCCCAACGCCGACCCCAAAGCTCTGGACCTGCTGGACAAGATGTTGACCTTTAACCCCAACACGAGGATCGCGGTGGAGGCGGCTCTGGCTCACCCTTACCTGGAGCAGTACTACGACCCTACAGATGAGGTAATGAACCCTGACCCTAACCCTGATTAACTCTTACCTGGAGCAGTCTATGACCCTACAGATGGGGTATTTGTCAGAAATCAGTAGTCGATCAAAAATGTAATTGGATTAGATTTTAGGAATGTCCCAAATGTCCTTGACCAATGATGATATGTAACTAACTAGTCTCTCCTGTTGTATTAATTCAGTAATCTCCATCTCCTGCTCTAACCCCTAACCCTGTAGCAGAGACTCTAACCCTGTAGCAGAGAGACTCTAACCCTGTAGCAGAGACTCTAACCCTGTAGCAGAGACTCTAACCCTGTAGCAGAGACTCTAACCCTGTAGCAGAGACTCTAACCCTGTAGCAGAGACTCTAACCCTGTAGCAGAGACTCTAACCCTGTAGCAGAGAGACTCTAACCCTGTAGCAGAGACTCTAACCCTGTAGCAGAGACTCTAACCCTGTAGCAGAGACTCTAACCCTGTAGCAGAGAGACTCTAACCCTGTAGCAAGAGACTCTAACCCTGTAGCAGAGAGACTCTAACCCTGTAGCAGAGACTCTAACCCTGTAGCAGAGAGACTCTAACCCTGTAGCAGAGACTCTAACCCTGTAGCAGAGAGACTCTAACCCTGTAGCAGCGAGACTCTAACCCTGTAGCAGAGACTCTAACCCTGTAGCAGAGAGACTCTAACCCTGTAGCAGAGACTCTAACCTCCTGTCTCTCTCTTAGCCTGTAGCAGAGAGACTCTAACCTCCTGTCTCTCTCTTAGCCTGTAGCAGAGACTCTAACCTCCTGTCTCTCTCTCTTAGCCTGTAGCAGAGACTCTAACCTCCTGTCTCTCTCTCTTAGCCTGTAGCAGAGACTCTAACCTCCTGTCTCTCTCCTAGCCTGTAGCAGAGACTCTAACCTCCTGTCTCTCTCTCTCTCTCTTAGCCTGTAGCAGAGACTCTAACCTCCTGTCTCTCTCTCTTAGCCTGTAGCAGAGACTCTAACCTCCTGTCTCTCTCTTAGCCTGTAGCAGAGACTCTAACCTCCTGTCTCTCTCTGTTAGCCTGTAGCAGAGACTCTAACCTCCTGTCTCTCTCTCTCTCTTAGCCTGTAGCAGAGACTCTAACCTCCTGTCTCTCTCTCTCTCTCTTAGCCTGTAGCAGAGACTCTAACCTCCTGTCTCTCTCTCTCTCTCTTAGCCTGTAGCAGAGACTCTAACCTCCTGTCTCTCTCTTAGCCTGTAGCAGAGACTCTAACCTCCTGTCTCTCTCTTAGCCTGTAGCAGAGACTCTAACCTCCTGTCTCTCTCTCTGTTAGCCTGTAGCAGAGACTCTAACCTCCTGTCTCTCTCTCTCTCTTAGCCTGTAGCAGAGACTCTAACCTCCTGTCTCTCTCTCTCTGTTAGCCTGTAGCAGAGACTCTAACCTCCTGTCTCTCTCTCTCTGTTAGCCTGTAGCAGAGACTCTAACATCCTGTCTCTCTCTCTGTTAGCCTGTAGCAGAGACTCTAACATCCTGTCTCTCTCTCTCTCTTAGCCTGTAGCAGATACTCTAACCTCCTGTCTCTCTCTCTCTCTCTTAGCCTGTAGCAGAGACTCTAACCTCCTGTCTCTCTCTCTGTTAGCCTGTAGCAGAGACTCTAACCTCCTGTCTCTCTCTCTCTTAGCCTGTAGCAGAGACTAACCTCCTCTCTCTCTCTGTTAGCCTGTAGCAGAGACTCTAACCTCCTGTCTCTCTCTTAGCCTGTAGCAGAGACTCTAACCTCCTGTCTCTCTCTGTTAGCCTGTAGCAGAGACTCTAACCTCCTGTCTCTCTCTCTCTTAGCCTGTAGCAGAGACTCTAACCTCCTGTCTCTCTCTCTCTTAGCCTGTAGCAGAGACTAACCTCCTCTCTCTCTCTGTTAGCCTGTAGCAGAGACTCTAACCTCCTGTCTCTCTCTTAGCCTGTAGCAGAGACTCTAACCTCCTGTCTCTCTCTGTTAGCCTGTAGCAGAGACTCTAACCTCCTGTCTCTCTCTCTCTTAGCCTGTAGCAGAGGCTCCCTTCAAGTTTGACATGGAGCTGGATGATCTACCCAAAGAGACCCTGAAGGAGCTGATCTTTGAAGAGACGGCACGCTTCAAAACAGTCTGCAGGTCCTAACCGATACACACAGGTACAAACAGCATATTCAAATCCCAACTCACTCTACAGTAAAAACAACAGAACAAATATTAGACTGGTAGGGGATCATGAAATCATTATTTACAGCGCTTTTAAAATCCCAACCCACTCTACAGTTAAAGCAACAAGAGGCATGTCTGCCTGGGCGTTCTGGAAGCCAGCTTTGACTGTACTCTGGATCAGACATGACGCAAGAATGTAGACTTTATTCACAATTCTCTTAGCACCTGTCTAATAATCTCAGATCTCCACAAATGCGGAGGGTCCAGGGGTCCATTTGGGAGGGTCCAGGGGTCCATTTGGGAGGGTCTAGGGGTCCATTTGGGAGGGTCTAGGGGTCCATTTGGGAGGGTCTAGGGGTCCATTTGGGAGGGTCTAGGGGTCCATTTGGGAGGGTCTAGGGGTCCATTTGGGAGGGTCCAGGGGTCCATTTGGGAGGGTCCAGGGGTCCATATGGGAGGGTCCAGGGGTCCATATGGGAGGGTCCAGGGGTCCATTTGGGAGGGTCTAGGGGTCCATTTGGGAGGGTCCAGGGGTCCATTTGGGAGGGTCCAGGGGTCCATTTGGGAGGGTCCAGGGGTCCATTTGGGAGGGTCTAGGGGTCCATTTGGGAGGGTCCAGGGGTCCATTTGGGAGGGTCTAGGGGTCCATTTGGGAGGGTCCAGGGGTCCATTTGGGAGGGTCCAGGGGTCCATTTGGGATTGATGTAGAGTCAGGAGCTCATCAGTAACTAAAGCGATAATAGTTTTTCTAACTAATGACAGACAGCAAGATAACCTGTTTAACGCCACCCCTCCATAGTTGGCATGGCTGTCGTTTGTGAGCAGATCCTCCAGTGTATACCGCTGGGTGCAAACTGATGAAATAGTGTACATTCTACCCACACGGGCGAGAATCGGTCGTCCCAAACATGCGCACCCAATCGGTCGTCCCAAACACGCGCACCCAATCGGTCGTCCCAAACACGCGCACCCAATCGGTCGTCCCAAACACGCGCACCCAATCGGTCGTCCCAAACACGCGCACCCAATCGGTCGTCCCAAACATGCGCACCCAATCTTCTTCCCCCAGACAAGTGCAGTACATCACCTGTAATGAGAGAAGGGGAGAACACAGACGCCCTGAATCCCTAATCAACACCTAGGCCTAGACCCGATCTCCCCGATCTGATCTGAGAGGATAGGAAAGCTATATGATGGAAGAAAAGCGAGGTGTACGTGAACTACTGCCGGGGTTTTGTAGTGATGGAGTAGAGTGCCTCTGCACCAGAGTATCACCCCTCAGGAGACTGAAAAGATATGTCATGGGTCCCCAGATCCTCAAAAAGTTATACAGCTGCCCTGTCGAGAGCATCCTGACCGGTTGCATCACCGCCTGGTATGGCAGCTGCTCGGCATCCGACCGTAAGGCGCAACAGAGGGTAGTGCGTACAGCCCAGTACATCACTGGGGCCAAGCTTCCTGCCATCCAGGACCTCTATACCAGGCGGCGCTTCCATCCATGACCTACAGTGCCTTGCAAAAGTATCCATCCCCCTTGGCCTTTTTCCTATTTTGTTGCATTACAACCTGTAATTGAAATACATGAAATCTAAATAAAAATCTAATGGACATACACAAAATAGTCCAAATTGGTGAAGTGAAATGAAAAACAAACACTTGTTTCAAAAAATTCTAAAAAATAAATAACGGAAAGGTGGTGAGTGCATATGTATTCACCCCCTTTGCTATGAAGCCCCTAAATAAGATCTGGTGCAACCAATTACCTTCAGAATCACATAATTAGTTAAATAAAATCCACCTGTGTGCAATCTAAGTGTCACATGATCTGTCACATGATCTCAGTATATATATGAAAGGCCTCAGAGTCTGCGACACCACTAAGCAAGGGGCACCACCAAGCAAGCGGCACCATGAAGACCAAGGAGCTCTCCAAACAGGTCAGGGACAAAGTTGTGGAGAAGTACAGATCAGGGTGGGTTATAAAAAAAATATTAGAAACTTTGAACATCCCACTGAGCACCATTAAATCATCATAAAAAAATGGAAAGAATATGGCACCACAACAAACCTGCCAAGAGAGGGCCGCCCACCAAAACTCACGGACCAGGCAAGGAGGGCATTAATCAGAGGCAACAAAGAGACCAAAGATAACCCCCGTGTAGCTCAGTTGGTAGAGCATGGCGCTTGTAACGCCAGGGTTGTGGGTTCGTTTCCCACGGGGGGCCAGTATGAAAAAATGTATGCACCCACTAACTGTAAGTCGCTCTGGATAAGAGCGTCTGCTAAAATGTAAAAATGTAAATAACGCTGAAGGAGCTGTAAAGCTCCACAGTGGAGATTGGAGTATCTGTCCATAGGACCACTTTAAGTCGTACACTCTACAGAGCTGGGCTTTACGGAAGAGTGGCCAGAAAAAAGCCATTGCTTAAAGAAAGAAATAAGCAAACACGTGTGGGAGACTCCCCAAACATATGGAAGAAGGTACTCTGGTCAGATGAGACTAAAATTGAGCTTTTTGGCCATCAAGGAAAATGCTATGTCTGGCGCAAACCCAACACCTCTCATCACCCCGAGAACACCATCCCTACAGTGAAGCATGGTGGTGGCAGCATCATGCTGTGGGGATGTTTTCCATCGGCAGGGACTGGGAAACTGGTCAGAATTGAAGGAATGATGGATGGAGCTAAATACAGGGAAATTATTGAGGGAAACCTGTTTCAGTCTTCCAGAGATTTGAGGCTGGGATGGAGGTTCACCTTCCAGCAGGACAATGACCCTAAGCATACTGCTAAAGCAATACTTGAGTGGTTTAGGGGAAACATTTAAATATCTTGGAATGGCCTAGTCAAAGCCCAGACCTCAATCCAATTGAGAATCTGTGGTATGACTTAAAGATTGCTGTACACCAGCGGAACCCATCCAACCTTGAAGGAGCTGGAGCAGTTTTGCCTTGAAGAATGGGCAGAATCCCAGTGGCTAGATGTGCCAAGCTTATAGAGACATACCCCAAGAGACTTGCAGCTGTAATTGCTGCAAAAGGTGGCTCTACAAAGTATTGACTTTGGGGTTAACGCTCAAGTTTTCTGTTTTTTTGTCTTATTTCTTGTTTGTTTTACAATAAAAATATTTTGCATCTTCAAAGTGGTAGGCATGTTGTGTAAATCAAATGATACAAATCCCCCAAAAATCCATTTTAATTCCAGGTTGTAAGGCAACAAAATAGGAAAAATGCCAAGGGGGTGAATACTTTCTCAAACCACTGTGTGTGTATATGTGTGTGTGCATATATATATATATATAGTTGAAGTCGGAAGTTTACATACACTTAGGTTGGAGTCATTAAAACCCGTTTTTCAACCACTACACAAATTTCTTGTTAACAAACTATAGTTTTAGCAAGTCGGTTAGGACATTTACTTTGTGCATGACACGTAATTTTTCCAACAATTGTTTACAGACAGATCATTTCACTTAATTCACTATATCACAATTCCAGTGGGTCAGAAGTTTTACTGTGCCTTTAAACAGCTTGGAAAATTCCAGAAAATGATGTCATGGCTTTAGAAGCTTCTGATAGGCTAATTGACATAATTTGAGTCAATTGGAGGTGTATCTGTGGATGTATTTCAAGGCCTACCTACAAACTCAGTGCCTCTTTGCGTGACATCATGGGAAAATCAAAAGAAATCAGCCAAGACCTTCACAAGTCTGGTTCATCCTTGGGAGCAATTTCCAAACGCCTGAAGGTACCACGTTCATCTGTACAAACAATAGTACGCAAGTATAAACACCATGGGACCACGCAGCCGTCATACCGCTCAGGAAGGAGACGCGTTCTGTCTCCGAGAGATGAACGTACTTTGGTGCGAAAAGCGCAAATCAATCCTAGAACAACAGCAAAGGACCTTGTGAAGATGCTGGAGGAAACGGGTACAAAGGTATCTATATCTGGGGCTGTTTTTCATGGTTTCATGGTTGTGGCAACAGTTTGGAGAAGGCCCTTTCCTGAAGATGCTGGAGGAAACCGGTACAAAAGTATCTACAGTGAGGGAAAAAAGTATTTGATCCCCTGCTGATTCTGTACGTTTGCCCACTGACAAAGACATGATCAGTCTATAATTTTAATGGTAGGATTATTTGAACAGTGAGAGACAGAATAACAACAAAAAAATCTAGAAAAACGCATGTCAAAAATGTTATAAATTGATTTGCATTTTAATGAGAGAAATAAGTATTTGACCCCTCTGCAAAATTTAACTTAGTACTTGGTGGCAAAACCCTTGTTGGCAATCACAGAGGTCAGACGTTTATTGTAGTTGGCCACCAGGTTTGCACACATCTCAGGAGGGATTTTGTTCCACTCCTCTTTGCAGATCTTCTCCAAGTCATTAAGGTTTCGAGGCTGACGTTTGGCAACTCGAACCTTCAGCTCCCTCCATAGATTTTCTATGGGATTAAGGTCTGGAGACTGGCTAGGCCACTCCAGGACCTTAATGTGCTTCTTCTTGAGCCACTCCTTTGTTGCCTTGGCCGTGTGTTTTGGGTCATTGTCATGCTGGAATACCCATCCACGACCCATTTTCAACAGTGTGTGAAAACCTTGTGAAGACTTACAGAAAACGTTTGACCTGTGTCATTGCCAACAAAGGGTATATAACAAAGTATTGAGAAACTTTTGTTATTGACCAAATACTTATTTTCCACCATAATTTGCAAATAAATTCATAAAAAATCCTACAATGTGATTTTCTGGATTTGTTTTTCTCAATTTGTATGTCATAGTTGATGTGTACCTATGATGAAAATTACAGGCCTATTTCATCTTTTTAAGTGGGAGAACTTGCACAATTGGTGGCTGACTAAATACTTTTTTCCACCACTGTATGTATATGCTGGGGAAAAAATATATTGGGGATTGGAAGTGATGCAGACAATTACATTGATGGAAGTTACAATCTATCTGCAATATTAAAGCTGATCTAACACCTAAAAAAAAAGTGAACCTATTGGTAGAATAAAATTATTCCATAACATGCATCCTGTTTGCAACACTAAAGTAATACTGCAAAAAATTAGCAAAGCAATTCACTTTTTGTCCTGAATACAAAGTGTTATGTTTGGGGCAAATCCAATACAACACGTTACTGAGTACCCCTCTCCATATTTTCAAGCATAGTGGTGGCTGCATCATGTTCTGGGTATGCTTGTAATCGTAAAGGACTGGGGAGTTTTTCAGGATAAAAAAAAAATTAACGGAGGTAAGCACAGGCAAAATCCTAGAGGAAACCCTGGTTCAGTCTGCTTTCCAACAGACACTGGGAGATGAATTCACCTTTCAGCAGGACAATAACCTAAAACACAAGGCCAAATCTACACTGGAGTTGCTTACCAAGAAGACAGTGAATGTTCCTGAGTGGCCGAGTTACAGTTTTGACTTAAATCTACTTGAAAATCTATGGCAAGACTTGAAAATGGTTGTCTAGCAATGATCAACATACAATTTGACAGAGATTGAAGATTTTTGAAAAGAATAATGGGCAAAAGTTTCACAATCCAGGTGTGGAAAGCTCTTAGAGACTTACCCAGAAAGACTCACAACTGTAATCGCTGCCAAAGGTGCTTCTACAAAGTATTGACTCAGGGGTGTGATTGGGAGTCCCACAGGGCGGCGCACAATTGGCCCAGCGTCGTCCGGGTTTGGCCGGTGTAGGCCGTCATTGTAAATAAGAATTTGTTCTTAACTGACTTGCCTAGTTAAATAAAGGTTAAATATTTTTTTTATAATTTGTTTTCCCCTCACCCATCTACACACAATACCCCATAATGACAATCTATTTAATCAATTTAGAATTCAGGCAAAATGTGGAATAAGTCAAGGGGTGTGAATACTTTCCGAAGGTACTGTGCTGGTTATGATGGAGCCATCTGCTAATCAAACATGAGATAATCAATGGCAGAATGTTAATATGTCTGTCTTACCTCCTGATGTGATTTTTAGAAGCTTGGCTCGCATTTCTGGTGTTGCTGAAAACACCCCTAGGTCCACACCACAACAGCCTGGTGTTGATAGAAGGACGGAGGGTAAAGAAACTATCATGTGAAGTCCTTTCCCTTTAGAATATACATTTAGTTCCACAATCTCCACACATCTTTGAGTAGGTAGGTGGAACACGCAGAGCAAACTTGGTCCTTCTTACTGTGGTCTGTGCTTGTCAGACCTTTTTCTTGAAAAGGGGGAGCCAGTCTTGAGGAAACTACAGCCATCCATGTTCCCTGTGGAATCTATAAGGCAGATCTCTTTTTTTTTCTAGGTGTGGTGTGGATGCAGTGGGGAACATAGGTCACAAGGGGAGTGTCACCATAGAGAAAACATCCCTGTATTGTTCCCATTATGGCGTCTGTGAGATCATGGGTAGCGCCATTGAGGCCGTCTCCATTTTGAGGTAGTCCATTTTCTTCTTCTACTACTTCTTTGAGTTGGCAAACAAACTGAAAGGGTGCATACTGCCACCTGGTGGGTGCTGTTTGAACAGGTATAAAGCTAAGATTTACTGCCACCTGGAGGGTGCTGTTTGAACATGTATAAAGCTAAGATTTACTGCCACCTGGAGGGTGCTGTTTGAACAAGTATAAAGCTAAGATTTACTGCCACCTGGAGGGTGCTGTTTGAACAAGTATAAAGCTAAGATTTACTGCCACCTGGAGGGTGCTGTTTGAACAAGTATAAAGCTAAGATTTACTGCCACTGGAGGGTGCTGTTTGAACAAGTATAAAGCTAAGATTTACTGCCACCTGGAGGGTGCTGTTTGAACACGTATAAAGCTAAGATTTACTGCACCTGGAGGGTGCTGTTTGAACAAGTATAAAGCTAAGATTTACTGCCACCTGGAGGGTGCTGTTTGAACAAGTATAAAGCTAAGATTTACTGCCACCTGGAGGGTGCTGTTTGAACAAGTATAAAGCTAAGATTTACTGCCACTTGGAGGGTGCTGTTTGAACTAGTATAAAGCTAAGATTTACTGCCACCTGGAGGGTGCTGTTTGAACAGGTATAAAGCTAAGATTTACAGCCACCTGGAGGGTGCTGTTTGAACAGGTATAAAGCTAAGATTTACTGCCACCTGCAGTTACGGAATGTTTGCTCACCAGTATAATGAATTGGCTGATCCCTCCTGATGACCTGGATGGAATCATGTGATCCTTCCTTAACCAATAGGAAGTCTCACCCAGTAGACTACTTCTAAATGGTGAAAGTCCTCAATGGTGCTTCCCATGCTAATACAGGCTTTTGGCCACTAGAGGCCTCTATCGTTCTCTGAGTGTCACAGACTAGATGTTTCCACCTTTGCACAATTCTAGAAGTAGTTTGAAAACAGCCTCTCTAATGGTGGACCCAGCCTCTCTAATGGTGGACCCAGCCTCTCTAATGGTGGACCCAGCCTCTCTAATGGTGGACCCAGCCTCTCTAATGGTGGACCCAGCCTCTCTAATGGTGGACCCAGCCGGCCTAATGGTGGACCCAGCCGGCCTAATGGTGGACCCAGCCACTCTAATGGTGGACCCAGCCTCTCTAATGGTGGACCCAGCCTCTCTAATGGTGGACCCAGCCTCTCTAATGGTGGACCCAGCCTCTCTAATGGTGGACCCAGCCTCTCTAATGGTGGACCCACTCTCTCTAATGGTGGACCCAGCCTCTCTAATGGTGGACCCAGCCGGCCTAATGGTGGACCCAGCCGGCCTAATGGTGGACCCAGCCGGCCTAATGGTGGACCCAGCCTCTCTAATGGTTGACCCAGCCGGCCTAATGGTGGACCCAGCCTCTCTAATGGTGGACCCAGCCTCTCTAATGGTGGACCCAGCCGGCCTAATGGTGGACCCAGCCTCTCTAATGGTGGACCCAGCCTCTCTAATGGTGGACCCAGCCGGCCTAATGGTGGACCCAGCCTCTCTAATGGTGGACCCAGCCTCTCTAATGGTGGACCCACCTCTCTAATGGTGGACCCAGCCGGCCTAATGGTGGACCCACCTTCTCTAATGGTGGACCCAGCCTCTCTAATGGTGGACCCAGCCTCTCTAATGGTGGACCCAGCCTCTCTAATGGTGGACCCAGCCTCTCTTATATACTCCTGTCTAAACAAACATTCCTTGTGCCAACTTGTGGTACGTTTTAATCAAACAACTTTGGTCAATCTTTCTCCATAACATTACAACTAATAACACTAATAACACTAATCCTGACAAAGATATTCATAGAATACAATCTAACACCAATCAGATCATGTTGAATGCTTAATATGAAGTTAAACTAGCTAGCTAACTATTATATTCCAGATATTAGCTAAGAGATTTTCAAAGTTGTCTCACCTCACAGTAATGTTAGTGTTTGTAGCATTTGCAGCATCCAAGCTTGCTAAAATATCGAGTTTTGCAAGTAATGAACATTTGTTAAAATTATGTTTGTACTTTATCCAACAATAATGCGCCAAATTTAAAGCTGAAACATCTCATAAAAAGGTAAATAACTCGGGTCTTTTCATGGCATCTTCGCCTGTCTTTAAATGGCATGCGCCTGGATGAGGCGACCCGAACCGATCCAGTCACCGCTCTCATCCTGACGACCAATGACGCTGATGTATTAGGCTGGCATATGCACCTAGCGGAAAAGGGGGAGTGGTTTTGGTATAGAGGAAATAAAGATTAGCTCTGGACAGGATGGATCTCTTTCTCTGTTTAACAGATCTCTTTCTCCTCTCGCCCTCTCCACAGATCAGACTCTGGACTCCTCTCTTCTCTCCACCTCTCCGCCATGTGCTGTGGTTCCTCCTGTCTTCAGCATTTCCTGTATCCTCCCTCCCTCCCTCCCTCCCTACCTCCCTCCCTCCCTACCTCCCTCAGTCAGTCAGACCACCATGCTCAGGAACGGTGTCAGGAATCAACCTCTGTCTCTGTCTCTGTCTCTGTCTCTCTCTCTCTCTCTCTCTCTCTCTCTCTCTCTCTCTCTGTCTGTCTCTGTCTCTCTCTCTGTCTCTCTCTCTGTCTCTCTCTCTCTCTGTCTCTCTCTCTCTCTGTCTCTCTCCCTCTCTGTCTCTCTGTCTCTCTATCTATCTATCCCAAATGGCACCCTATTCCCTATATAGTGTACTACTATTAAAAAGCAGCGCACTATATGGGTGCTGTTTAGAACACACCCTTTGGTTCTGGCGACTCTTGTTCAATCAGACGTTTTGTCTTCAGTCAAATCAGTGTTGTGGTGTTTTTATGGTTAAATCCTTATTATTGCTCATGGCTGAAGCCGCGCTACACAGTTGTCGGTTTGTTTCAAAGGCTTTACGTTGTGAATGAACTTTTATTTTTTATTTTCAAACTATCTGAAGCAAAACTATGATCAGGGAAATCGTAGGTGATGTCATAGATGTTGTGACAGCACTCTACCAAGAAAGACCCCACATTGATGAGATCAGCTTACTTATGCAATGACACAACACTAGCAGTATCTGGTCAGACAGAGAATAGAGATACCTAGTCAGTTACACAACTGAATGCATTCAACCAAAATGTGTCTTCCTCATTTAACCCAACCCCTCAATCAGAGAGGTGCTGGGTGCTCCTTAATCGACGTCCACGTCATCGGGGGGTTAACTGCCTTGCTCAAAGGCAGAACGGCAGAATGTTCCACCTCGCCGGCTCTGGGATTCAAACCAGCGACCTTTCAATTACTGGCCCAACGCTCTTAACCACTAGGCTACCAACCGCTCCCTCTCTAACTCTCCTATAACGCCTACTCTAACGGCTGCTCTTCTCTCCTCTTCTCTTCCTATAACGCTGCTCTATACTCTCTCCTCTAACGGCTGCTCTGCTCTCTTCCCTCTAACGGCCCCATTAAGACGCTCTCGCTCTCTCATCCTACAAGGCCTGCTACTCCTCGTCTCTCTCCTAACGGCCTGCTCTCATCTCTCTCATCCTCCTAAACGGCCTGCTCTCTTCTCTCTCTCTCCTAACGGCCTGCCTCTCTCTCTCTCCTCAACGGCTGCTTCTCTGCTTCTTCTCCTAACGGCCTGCTTCTCTCTCTCTCTCTTCCTAACGGCCTGCTCTCTCTCCTTCTCCTCTAACGGCCTGCTGCTCTCTCTCTCTCTACTCTCCTTAACGGCCTGCTCTCTCTCTTCTCTCCTCCTAACGGCCTGTCTCTCTCTCCTACTCTCTCTCTCTCTCACTAACGGCCTGCTCTCTCTCTCTCTCCTCTAACGGCCTGCTCTCATCTCTCTCTCCTCCTAACGGCCTGCTCTCTCTCCTCTCTCTCCTCCTAACGGCCTGCTCTCTCTCTCTCTCTCCTAACGGCCTGCATCTCTCTCTCCTTCCTCTCCTAACGGCCTGCTCTCTCTCTCGCTCTCTCTCCTCCTAACGGCCTGCTCTCTCTCTCTCTCCTCCTAACGGCTGCCTCCTCTCTCTCTAACGCTCTCTCTCTCTCTCCTACAACGGCCTGCTCTCTCTCTCTACGTCTCTTCTCTCCTCCTAACGGCCTGCTCTCTCTCTCTCTCTCTATCCTGCTCTCTCTCTCTCCTCCTAACGGCCTGCTCTCTCTCTCTCTCTCTAACTCTCTCTCCATCTCTACAGGCCCTTCTTCTCTCCTCTCTCTCTCTCCTCCTCAACGGCCTGTCCTCTCTCTCTTCTCCTCCTTCTAACGCTGCTCTCTTCTCCTCCTAACGGCCTGCTCTCTCTCCTGCTCTCTCTCTCCTCCTAACGGCCTGCTCTCTCTCTCTCTCCTCCTAACGGCCTGCTCTCTCTCTCTCTCTCCTCCTAACGGCCTGGTCCCTGTCTCTCTCTCTCTCTCCTCCTATCACGGCATTCTGGTCTCTCTCTCTCCTCCTAACGGCCTGCTCTCTCTCTCTCTCTCCTCCTAACGGCCTGCTCTCTCTCTCTCTCTCCTCCTAACGGCCTGGTCTCTCTCTCTCTCTCTCCTCCTAACGGCCTGGCTCTCTCTCCCTCCTACGCCTGCTCCTCTATCCTCCTAACGGGCCTCTCTCCTCTCTCTCCTCCTAACGGCCCTGCTCTCTCTCTCCTCCTAACGGCCTGCTCTCTCTCTATCTCTCTCTCCTCCTAACGGCCTGCTCTCTCTCTCTCTCCTCCTAACGGCCTGCTCTCTCCTCCTCTTCTTCTATTGTTACATCTATTGGTTTTGTCTTCTCCTGTTCTGATCTCAGAGATTTCAAACCAGGTTCTGTTAGTTCCAGAGCTGAAACTGTCAGTCAGTCAGGGGGAAAACGATACCATGTCTTAGCCATAAGAAACAGAGCCTGCTCCTTTAAATGCACGACCCCTGACCCCTGGAACACGGAAATGAGTTAATCAAAACAAGGCACATAACAGGGGGTGTGTGCAGTAATATACTAATTGTATGCAGATCACTGATCCCAATCTTACTTTAAATTGGGACCTTCACAATGATGTGTGGCCCTTTTAAGATGTCAACACCTGTTGGATCAGTGAGAAGGGTAACAACATAAGTTCCCCAAACTACAGGAACGAATAAGGATTATTAACCGAGGCATTATCAGTAACACAAGATGTTATCGCTAGATCTATACGCTAGTTTCTCTCTGCTACCATTACAGCGGCCATAGTTAACTAGACCGCTGGTCAGCTGGTCATGTCTAAGGTTCTTCATACCTGTTTCACACTTATTTAAGTTACCTACAGAACCATTTCAATGGAAGCTGGCTAGTTGCTAGTAGCTTGAGCTCCCAGGTCATTATTTGAGATGCTCAGAGAGAACGTTGTTCCTGCCATGCTGGCTTCTCTCCGCTGCCATGCTGGCTTCTCTCCGCTGCCATGCTGGCTTCTCTCCGCTGCCATGCTGGCTTCTCTCCGCTGCCACGCTGGCTTCTCTCCGCTGCCACGCTGGCTTCTCTCCGCTGCCATGCTGGCTTCTCTCCGCTGCCATGCTGGCTTCTCTCCGCTGCCATGCTGGCTTCTCTCCGCTGCCATGCTGGCTTCTCTCCGCTGCCATGCTGGCTTCTCTCCGCTGCCACGCTGGCTTCTCTCCGCTGCCATGCTGGCTTCTCTCCGCTGCCATGCTGGCTTCTCTCCGCTGCCACGCTGGCTTCTCTCCGCTGCCACGCTGGCTTCTCTCCGCTGCCATGCTGGCTTCTCTCCGCTGCCATGCTGGCTTCTCTCCGCTGCCATGCTGGCTTCTCTCCGCTGCCATGCTGGCTTCTCTCCGCTGCCATGCTGGCTTCTCTCCGCTGCCATGCTGGCTTCTCTCCGCTGCCCCATGCTGGCTTCTCTCCGCTGCCATGCTGGCTTCTCTCCGCTGCCATGCTGGCTTCTCTCCGCTGCCATTTCACTGGCCATAAGATCTACTGTGTTACGAAGTGGCCAAACATCTACACAACTCTCTACTCCAGTAACTGGCTCTGGTGTTCCGAGCCACATTTATCATACTTATTTCATTCCACACCATGTCGCTCAGTCTAATGCCAAGTCTCCCAGGTCATTGGTTGAGGTGCTAAGACAGAACATTCTCCCTGTAGTTCCCTTTGTTGTCATTGCTTTTCCTCCTAGTTTGACCAACAGCAATTGCACTTGCTTTCTATCTATGTAACGTTACAATGCCATCAACAACGTTATAATGGCATTTATATAACATTACAATGCCATAGGTTTATATAACGTTACAATGCCATGGGACCTTTAGGTCCACATTGGACTAGACGTCTGCTGCACAGCACTACTGGCCCTTAACCCACCTACAGAAGGTCTGAGAGCCACTGGCCACAACCCCCACTGCAATATCTATCTATCGATCTCGATCGGCCTCTGAGTCAGTCCATGTTGTAAACCTTTCTGGTTATTGATGCCTTTCTTCTTAATGGTCTTCAACTCCAACATTTGATGTGCAGCTTTGTTTAGTGGGGGTCGTTGTGATCGCAGTACATTATTTGTTTAGTGGGGGTCGTTGTGATCGCAGTACATTCTTTGTTTAGTGGGGGTCGTTGTGATCGCAGTACATTGGGGGTCGTTGTGATCGCAGTACATTCTTTGTTTAGTGGGGGTCGTTGTGATCGCAGTATATTCTTTGTTTAGTGGGGGTCGTTGTGATCGCAGTATATTCTTTGTTTAGTGGGGGTCGTTGTGATCGCAGTATATTCTTTGTTTAGTGGGGGTCGTTGTGATCGCAGTATATTCTTTGTTTAGTGGGGGTCGTTGTGATCGCAGTATATTCTTTGTTTAGTGGGGGTCGTTGTGATCGCAGTATGTTCTTTAAAAAAGGATAAACTGTTTTTAGCCTTATTTTTATTTCATTTTTTGGAAAATGTTTTGTGCAAATAAAAGTTGTTTTTATTGTAAAATGAATGTTTCTATTGAATATTACTCTAGCAGCCTTTACACTCGTAAATGGCAGATTTGGACACTGATAAACGCCTAAATTGGAACGCAGTGACACTACAGTTAAATACATGACGTCAGAGCTCTTCACAGCGCTGTATGGGTTTGGACTGATAGCCGTTCTGATCATGAGCACCTCACACCACAAGAAGGTGCCCCCATCCCTCCCGGTAATTGGGCAACTTTTGCACATTTCTTTGTTGTCTGAGTGAGGGAAATGCTATAAATTAGGAGACTGTGTATTTTGAAAAATGAGACGTTGAGGATTATAATAAATACCGCTTTGATGTCAGTCAAGCGAGCCAAACACCCGTGAGTCCAAATGTGCGCTTCACATTTCCAAATCATAAAACTAATGTCACATTGTGTCAACGTTTATGATCATTGTTTTGACCGTACAGTTACAAGATGACATAATAATAATAATAAAAAGCCATTTAGCAGACGCTTTTATCCAAAGCGACTTACAGTCATGCGTGCATACATTT